AAAAATTTCAATTGCAAGTTTCTACAGTCATGAAATGTCCCCCACATTGGTTTGAAAGTGACAGCTATTTGTTTTTATTATTTCAATTGGATGGATTTTAATGAAGAGAATGGCAGACTGCCCTGCACTGTGCCTCTGATGTCCACAGCTACAAGCCTCTTTTGCATGCTCAGCACGACTCCTAGATATTATAGCATATAGCAGATGTCATTTACTAGGGGTATTCCTGACCTCTTCTTTCTGCTCCTCTAAGCCCTCTCATAGGAGAATCTATTCCTTTACAGTGAAGAAATTTCAGTAAATGGTAAGACGAATAATAAATATTAAGGGGACTATTGTATAAATAGTTTAATTAAAGCACTCTGGACTTGATGCCAGGAGTCTTGATACATACCATGGCATTCAGAAATGAGACAGGGAGAGGGTGATTACTAATGGTTGGCCACGTGGTTTAGGATCTCTGTGAGCATTTCCAGCCCATCCCTGATGCTGTCCTTGTGAAGCAAAGAAAATAAACTCAAATCCAAGTGGTATGTCTGGAGTGAAGAAAGCCTTTCTGATTAGTGATAGCCCAGTTTGCTTAGCCCACTTACCGGAGAAAAACTCCCAGAGGTGTTGATGTTTTTTTTTTCAGATGCCAATGAGAAGGGGAAACTAGACTTTACAGATCACATATAAAATAGTTCTGCAGAGTAAATGCTCTGATTGAGTTCCAGTGAAGTAGATATTAAACTGTAATTTATTTTTTGTTTTCTATGCCTGTGTAGGGGACACAGTGGGGTTAGTATCGTCCTTTCTTGTGTTTGTTTCAATAAAACAGAATAACAGCTTATTTTACTAGCAAATTATGTTCCTATAATTATTATAATTTTATAGTGCAAATAAGATCAGAATGAGTAATTTTGTAAAGCTATGTTCAGCTTTCATTTAGAGTACACACACACACACACACACACACACACACACACAGTGCATACAATTGTAGGCTTACCCCGAGTATTGATGTTTCATTTTATACAACATTAGTGCACACTAGCAAAGATGGGTGACGGGTAGGTCTTGTGCTTGGGTAGCTTTTGCTTTCCCTGCTCTCTTGCTTATAGTTTTTCTGGGCTTAATAGCCATTGTTCAGTGTTTTTTTTTTTTTTTGTCTGAGTAGAAATCAAAGATAAAGCTGTCAATATGAATCTTTGCTCTTGACAGAATAGCATCCTTAGTTAACCAATTTTGAAATTTTTAGTTAAATTTTCTTTTCCTCTAATTGATTACAACTGATGTTGTATTCTACTTTATTTAATTGATGCTGATCAACAAACAGGTTTTACTTTTTCTATATTTGCTAAATAAATATCACAACATCAGGCTAAATGTGATTTCCTGATAATGTAACACAAATATGTGACTATAAACTGGTTAGTGGTATTTTCCTTTTAAATAATTTTGCTGACAGTTTGAGGCACAGGATATTTATTACAGCTAATAAATATAAGCAGGTTACTGTCTGAAGACTCCAGCTGACTGTACATTGTAAGTAGTGTATAAAACATTGAAGGCTGTTGGGATATAAACAGTGCTGAAGCGGATTCCTGGAAGTCACTATTCAGCTTTAGAAGGTTTGGTAGTAATGATGCATTAATTGCCTTTTTACATGACAGAGTAATAGGATACTTAGATCTAAAAAAATCATGGCAGAGGTTTGGTAGACAATGGCTTGTGGCTCATAGAAACAAGATTCTGATGAAATTGTTTGAATCTTTTTATTTGGAGGATAGAAAAAAAGCCTTGGTAGGAGACTGTGTATTAGAAGTGACTTGGATCTTTAAAGATCATAATCCTTGATAGTTTAAATAGAAGTGTGCTGTTTCTGTTTTTACTAAGAAATGCGCTGTTAAATATCTTCTCAGTTCCTCTCACACTTTATGCTAAGAACTCTGATGTTCTTGGGAAAAAGGTTTTCAAAAGAGAGGGAAAATCAAAATACAAATAAGTTACTAATGAGGGACCTTACTTAATTTAATCTTTTCTATTTGTTGAAAGGAAACTTAATAGCCCCTTTCTGGTTTTGTTTCTTGTTTTTGTTTTGCCTTGTGAGACACTCTTGAGCTTATTTTTACAGGTAGTTAGTTTGAAGGATGGTCTGCTAGCTGCATCAGTGTCTGAGTGCCCTTTGGCTCCAGCTTGGTTTAGGAGCAATGTTTTTTGGGGATTAGTTTCACCATATTTGATTGTTTATTCATTCTATTCTTAGCTTACTGTGATTTGCTAAGTATTTCAATTTTCATTAACATTTGTTCAGCGAAGGGTTGTTTTTAATTTGGATCACAGCAGTAAAATCTTTTGATTTAGTTTTCAAAATTGCACTTTAAGTTTGAACTTCTGGAAATAATTTTATTTGATATGAGAGTTGATTGCATATAAGTTGTGGAAATGAGAAAAAATAAATTCGATATTCTGCAGATGAACATAAGCTTTATTTGCATATAGAAGCCATGATTTTTACTTTCCAGAACCTGTTTCTATTTGACAAAGTGTCGTAGTCCACTGGAGTGTACTTTGTGAATTATGTTTCACGTTCTCAAGCCTTAAGAACACACAGAGATTTAGTATAGAGTCTGTTCATGAAGCTTTCTGTCCTGCCAAAGACCACAGTAGAGGTCTTGGTTGTGTGGTTTCCTCCTCCTTTTCCTCTTATTAGCAGAGGTTTTCCTATTTTGGCAGCTGTTTCCTACAAGGCAGTCATCAGTCCCTGATTTCTTCCTTCCCTTTCTTCCCACAAACAAGGACTCTTTCAGATAGCGAGTGACCAAATACTGAATGATCTTGGATCGCCTTAAGAAAATGTAACTGTGTTGAAGAGTTGTACATGCAGGCCAGCTGCCTGTAGGCATTCGCTCATTGAAATCGAAGTACCCGTTACAAGTAAAACTTGCACAGTCAAAAATTCTTTGTTAGAATGTGGAACAGTCCAGAGGGTCACTCAGTTTTACTTTTAGCAATTAAGGAACCCTCATCCACATATTAAAATTACTCTAATTGCTTGATCAGATTATTGAACAGACTGTAAGGTATAAGAAATTGTTTATGGATCAGCCTTTGGATGTGTCAGGCCATTAGCCTTTTGATCTGACTTTCATTTTAAAGGTAGGAACTTGGCCACAGCCAATGTAAACTTTAGTTTAGATTGTCTTTTGACTAACCTTTTGGGAATTCAGTTCAAAAATGAACAGAATGGGCCAGCTATTTCTACATGGATGTGTGTCATGTCTCCATCAGACTGATTTTTGATGTGTGGCTCTTTTTGTATTTTTGGCATTCAGGAGAGGAAGCATGTTGCCTTTTCTTTTGTTTTTGTTTTGTTTCTTTCGACAGAGAAGCATTGAGGTGTTTGCAGAGCTGCATAATGCCAACTATGACCCCTGTTATATCTAAATGTCTTTAATGTTTTCAGAGAGAGCTAAAATTGGGGTGGTCATGGGCCATGGTATAGAGAAAAACAGTTGTATCTCAGACTGTGGGCATGATAAAACAAACTCCTTATTATAGAGATATTTTGCTTGTTTCATCTGTGATTTTTAATGAATTAAAATTTAGATTAATTTCTTTTTTTTTTTTTTTTAATTGTCTTTTTTGGTACTGGGAATTTAACCCAGGGGCAATTTACCACATCCCATAACTCCTCAGCTCCCCCCCCCCTTTTTTTGTTTACTTTGATACAGGGTCTCACTTAAAGATGCTTAGGGCCTTGCTACATTGTTGAGGTGGGTCTTCAACTTGTGATCCTTCCACTTCAGCCTTTTGAATTGCTGGGATTGGAGGCGTGTGCCACCATGGCTGGGCTAGATTAATTCTTTTACATTCTTTGTAGTGTATTCCTTCATATGAAAGCCATGATCGTGCTTTTCCTTTGTGAAATATGTTCCAAACCATTTAGAATCTGCTTTTCCATAGAACTCCTTTAAAGTGAATAGAACATAGTGAGCAGCTACTGTAATCCCTATGATACATGAAGCATGTGTTTGTCTCTGATGGAGACATGACACACATCCATGATGTGAAAGAGAAGTTATAAGTAGAATTTTATTTTCTAAATTATGCTTATGTTTTAGTCACAGCATCTAAATTATTAAGAATTGTCTTATTTGAACTACCAATGCAACCTCATAATGGGGAAGATGGGAGTCCCCTCACTGTCTCACTTCATACAACTCTAGCAGCTTGTCAAGGGTGGCTTGAGAAAACTTGGTAGGGGATTAATTAATTTGTAGCAAATAATAGGAAATTAATTTGAAGAAAGTGTAAGGTGTTCCCTTCAAAGGAAACATTTGTGATTTCTTTACCCTCAGAGGCTAGACTGGGAGACTAGATATATTTGGGAACTGCCTTCGTTTTATGAGTCTGACAAAGCTAATGTTATAATGCAGTTCCTCATACTACTCTAGAAAGCACAGCTCTTGTGCAGATCCCAGCGAAAGACCAGGTGATACTAGGATCCAGAAAACACTTTTTAAAATCACCCTCCTGATAGTGTTTGTATCTTGTTTGGAGAACTGGGCCTATAAGAGCTAGTCAAAATTAGAATTAACCCCAGGTTTGGTATTCTTTGTGATCCTTCCCCTAGTTATGCACCTTGGAGCAGTGCACTGATCATAATCTTTGGATTTTTTATTTGAGCTTAGTGGACTCAAGGATGTATTTTAAGTTATACTTTGTGAAAAAGAACAGCATATGAAATCTAGAATTTTGACCCATCCTAGAATGGCTTTCAAGTTTTTCATGTTTTTCTAAGAAGGCTTTTTTATTAGGAATTTATGTACCTTTACTGTTACGTTATGTTGCAAGGCTCAGGTATCCAATGTATAGGAGCAGCTTCCACATTTGATTTAGAATCAAAATATATTTTATACTTAAAAAAGGGAGGGAAGGGGAGAAAGTTGTTATTTTTGTATTTTCTGTGACATAGCAGGACCATAAAGCCAATGATAGATTTGTTTGTTTTTCAGATATGAGGATCAATGATGCAGACTGCTGGGTTCGATGAAGCTGGGCATTTATAACTAGATTCATTAAGGAATACAAAGAAATATCTAAAGGGATCAATAATGGTGTCTTCTGGTTGCAGAATGCGAAGTTTGTGGTTTATCATTATAATCAGCTTCTTACCGAATACAGAAGGTAAGACACAGTTTAAATTTTGTTCCTTAAATCAAGGAGAACTTGAGCTATGCAATCTTCTTTCTGTGAAAGTGGTTAGAATATTATTTTATTATTCTAAAAGAGGTACTGAATTCTTCTTTTGGTGGCTGAATTATTTCATTACACTGATATAAATTATAGAAAGTGCTAGATGTCTGAATTTATGTTTTACATAAATTTGTGACCTACAACAATTCTAAATAATCCTAAGGGAACTAAATGACATATTAGATATATTTTACATTTATTGACTATTGCCGTAAATATATTTATTCTAGGAAATTTGAAGTATTTGGAGGTGATTTTTTAAAAACATATTTTTAGATATAGGTGGACACAATACCTTTATTTTATTTTTTCTTATTTTTATGTGATGCTGAGGCTCAAACCCAGTGTGTCACATATGCTAGGCAAGCACTCTACCATTGAGCCTCCACCCCAGCCCTTTGTGTTGATCTTTTCACTTCGTATTTAATTTTTTGTCTGTTCAAGTATAGTTGTAGTTTTAAAATGCCTAAAACAAAACAAAAAAAATTCACATCTTGTAAAAACGATTTTTGTAGTACTTCTTAATGTTATCTGTTTCTTTAAAAAAAAAAAATATATATATATATATCCATCATGTGAAAACTTGTAAAAATGCAGGAAGACTTTTCTTTTTTTCTTGAGCACTATTGCTTAAAATTTTTTTCTTTTGTATTTTTGTGGTGCTTGGGATGGAACCCAGGCTCTCCTGCATTATAGGCAAGCACTCTACCAGTTATACTTCCAGCTCCTAAAATTGTATAACTCTTGATTTATGGTGAGTAGTTTTCGAGACAGACCAACTTTTTTTTCTGGGTTGGTGATTGAACCCAGAGATACTTTATTTCTGAGCTATATCTCCATCCCTTTTTATATTTTATTTTGAGACCAGGTCCTGATAAAGTGGTGAGGCTGGCTTTGAACTCACAATTTTTCTGCCTCAGACTTCTGGGATTATCACATGCACTATCACACCTGACTGAGTTTTAAAGAAGTAAATGCACTTTTGAGGCTTAATGAAATAAATAGAACGATCATTTGTTATTTACTGTGTAGATTTTTTGGTAACCACTATTTATGCAGTCTGAAATAATATTCCCATGTGAAAAAAACATTCATCCAGATAGTATGGAGCATAAAGCAGACTGAAAGTTAATATGGAGGAAAGATGTGTAAATTTTATAGCTAGTTGATGGTGGTATTCAGAATGAAAATGTTAACTTATAAAAGCTTTGAAGAATACAGAGTCTTTGATAAATCCATATACAATATAATAGATTTTTTTAAGGCCCAGTGAAATAGTATTGATAAAAATGTTTTAGAATTTTTAAATTGGATTTATATATGCTTTTAATTATTCTGTTTATAGCTATTAATAAAATGGTTGGCAGGGAAAAAAAGGCATGATATCAGCTAATAGATAGGAGCTTATTATTCCAATGTCTTTGTAATAAGCTTCAAAACATTAACCTTTTAATTTTGCCAAAAGAATTTTATTTGAATTGTTTGTTCCAAATTTAGGTTTTGTCATTTTCTTCCTGTCCTACCAATTTCTACACTCAATATATTGATATAACTTGATAATATATTTTAAACCATATAGAAATTTAGAAATATTTTAAAATAAAAACTTCTGTAACCAGAAAGTATATAACGTTCAATTAGATTTAAGTCATACTTGAAAGTTACAAATATATTACTATTTTATTTTCAGGTTATATTCCTCTTTGTTTTAGAATTGGAGATACATCAACTCTAAAAGTATAGTATGTCTGAGTGAAGAGTAGTACTGTAATGATAAAAAAGAAGCAGGAATTGAGTTTTAATGTGAATCTCAGGCTTGGATTGTTGCGAAAATCATATGGATAGTTTATAATTTTGCATCTGGTTTTTAGAAAGAATAATAACTGAATTCCTGCTGTTATGTTTGATGTTTTTATACATTTAAAAAAGATTCCAGGTGTGTACCAATGGATCGTTAGTCCAATAATGAAAAATTTCCAATTGGTGTGGAGACCACTTTGCTGGCGCAGTAGCATAACTCAGTGGGGGGCAGGGAGAGCTAGCAGACAGAGACTTTTTCATGAGATACTGCAGTTTTATTTCCAGTGTCACCTATCAGGTCAGGATTCATATCTGCTGTTAAGAGAAATATCATTTTTGGCACATCAGGCCAGGGGGTATTGCTTTTGAAGCAATTCCCTCCTACTGATAAAAAGAACTGGGGACGAACTCACACTGCTTATTCTAAGAGTGTACACAGCTAATGCACACTGTTAGAACATTTATCCAGCATCACATGAGTTTGTCTTAGAAAAGTTTTACATGACAGAATAGTCCTTTATTGCAGGAAACCAGATAATGGTCTGTGAACACCTATGGAGAAAACCAATCAAAGTTAGGTATGAGGGTATAGGAAGGAAGATAGAAATTTAATTATTCAGCCATTAAGTTTTTTCTGAGCCCTTCCATGAATGTTTTACCTTTTAAAATATTTAAAAAAATGAGATGTTATTTTTCTGTATAGTTCCCGGGTCCTTGCACATAAACTCAGATGAGGTTTCAAAGATACACAAAGCACAGTTCTTACTCTGAGGAGCTCATGTTCTTGCACAGCTTTGGAACCTCAAACACCTATTAGGGTCAAACAGATAAAGTAACTTGAGTATATCAAACAGTCTGAGGTTTGCCACAGACAGGGAAGTGCTTGCCAAAGGACCATGATTAAGTCCTTTCCAGTGTATAGCCCAGTTTTGCCAGTTTTCCAACTTTTCAATTGAAACCAGACATTAAGATTTTAAATAATAGCAACCAACTAATATTTTAAAACAAAACAGTTTACATATTGTAGAATCACCATGGACTATGCTTTTTTTCTTAGAGATTTCTGTTTTCCAAAGTAGTGATTTACCTTGGTATTATTTAAAGGCTTCATATCATGTTGGATTTATTTTAGATCTATACCTATCAGATCCAAATTCGTGAGAAGTACTTATTCTGTGTTCAGACAGACCTTATAAATATGTCCTGTTTCTTGTGCATATTCCTTTATTTTTATGGTGTTGGATTTGAACCCAAGGCCTATGCTCGCCAGGGCCATGCTGTACCACTGAGCTGTACCTCCAGTGCCTCTTATGCATATTAAAAAACCAGATCAATAACCACTTTTGAAGTTTAGTATGGCAAAAGCTAATTATATAAAAGCCTAGTTGTTAGAATTACTCTATTATTTGTCAATCGGTCTTAGTGAATATTTTTGCAAGATAGAAACATTTTTCTTCTTCCTGTATTTTTAAAAAATTGTGTTTAGAATTTCTAAATAAACAATGATTGAATGAAGACCAAACTTTAAAAATATTTTGTAAAATTTTTATATAATTGATTTTATTCCTGGAGAACTAAACTCAAGCCCTTCACAAGTTAGTCTGTTGAGAAACTGGTGTGCTTTGATTATTTTGGCCAATTTTTATAAGCATAGTAACCCACTGTGGAATCATGTATCAGTAAGTAGGAAAGGAAATTGAATTTTTGTGTCCCAGAGAATTAAATTATGCTATATAATGGAGCCCTGGCAAGCATAAGTCAGACATATGAAAGCTTGCTCAAGTGACAAGTTACAAATAATAGTGACTCTTCAGCAAAGCTGGTAATATGAATTTCAGGTTGAATTCTTTACACAGTTAATACGTAACTAAATTTCATAAGTCTGAATTTTTGTAATTAACTCAAATTATAATGTTGTTATTCTTATTTCAGTGAAAAATGTTATACTAGGTATAAATACCAGATATAGCTTTATATGTTTATTTTATATAAAACAGGAAAATTTACAAACATAACTGTGGAAATAGTATCCTGCCAATTTTTAACTGACATTTAAATTCTCTAAACACATTTTCTTAATGACTTTAGAATCAATGTTATCTTTGTAAAATATGATATGTATGTGTAGGGTATTTTCAGTATCTAGTAGAAGAAAATAGGCAGGTCTAGAGGTTAAGTATGAATTAAAAAATAATCTTTATTTTACATATAAGTACTTCTCAATAGTCTGAATTTTATGGAAGAAATAATGATTCTTCAAGTTTAAACTTAATACTGTATCCTTTTTTCTTTCATTCTTTCCTTCACATACACATAAGAAAATATACACGTACATATATCTTAATATATATGTACACACACACACACGCGTGCGCACACACACACAGTATGTCAGCTCCACAAAGGCAGGTTTTTTTTTTTTTTTCATTGCTGTTTTTCATTCATATATTAAAGTGCCTAGAATGATGTCTGGTTTTTAGCAACTACTCAATCTGTTCTATCACATGAGCAGCATAAGTCTTTGAAGTTCATAGTCTTAATAGTGGAGAGGGGCCAATGAGCACTTGTCATAACAGGGTGATAATTGCCAGGGCCTTGTTCATGCTAGACAAGTCTTCTGCCACTAAACTATATCCCAGCTTTAAATGTAAATTCAAAACCATTTTTTTTTTTTTTTTTAGGAAGAAAATGATTTTATTCGGTGTCATTGAGAATTTAGTAACTGGTTGCTCTCTGGGAATTGAGTCAGTATATTTTCAGATTTTGTTTATCCCTCTGATCCCGCTCTTGTAATTTTAGGCTTTAAAAAAGGAACTTTTTTTTTAACTTTTTTTTTTTTTGGATAGTGTACTGAGAAAGAAAAAATATTGAAATATTTACAACAAATTGGAAAAAGCAACATATTTTCTGCTGCATTTAGCAGATCTCTTAAACTCTTATTTCAGTTTGTCTTTTTTCATTATGATAACTTTATTCTTTTTCTTGTTGGGAATCAGTAGATGGCCATCACTATAATACTGATGTGACTTATGTTAGGGAATTACATTTTCTAATCTAGCAAAATTGACTACTTTTGTTCATTTCAGTAATTTTGATTAGTTGAAGTCTTAGAGGTAAATTTTCAGCAAGGT